TTTTGTGAATAGCCCTTCTCCCTCTGTTGCCACATATTGCAAGGAGAGCAGTGCAAAATGCAGATAATGACATTCAAGACTTTGTTTATAACAACTTTTATGTTGATGATGGGTTGATGTCATGCCCAGATGTTAAGTCCGCAGTTGATCTTATGAAGCGTTCTCAAAAGGCTCTTGTAGATGGTGGTGGATTGCGACTCCATAAAATTGTGTCGAATAGTAAAGCCGTTCCTCAAAGCTTCCCATCGGAAGACTTATCTTCTGACCTCAAGGACCTGGACCTTGGATCTGAAACTCCTCCTGTACAACGCAGCCTAGGACTTTCATGGGACATTTCTGTCGATCAATTTACATTCAAAGTGTCTTCAGAGAAAAAGCCGTACACTCGCACAGGTGCATTGTCGGTCATTAATAGCATATTTGACCCTATTGGGTTTGCGTCTCCAATTACAATGAATGGAAAACTAATTCTCCGAGAGATGATGTCAGAATCTGGACCTGCAAATTGGGATGAAGATCTCCCTGATCATTTGAAATTAAGATGGGAAAATTGGGTATCCTCATTGGTTCATCTTCAAAACTTACAAATACCACGTAGATCTTCAGATATATCATTTTTAAACTCTACACATTTGGAGGTTCATGTATTCAGTGACGCGCCAAAGGACGCGATAGCATCTGTGGCTTATTTGAAATTGTTTGGTGAGAATAAAAGTGAAGTCTCCTTTCTGATGGGAAAAGCTAGAGTGTCGCCAGTACACGGCCACACAATACCGCGTTTAGAGTTATGTGCAGCTGTCCTTTCAGTTGAGATTGCAGATACTTTGAAAGAACAACTCAAATTAGACTCGACTTGTTTTCATTTCTATACTGACAGTAAGGTCGTTTTAGGTTACCTAACTAATGAAACACGTAGATTCTATGTTTATGTGAGCAACCGAGTAAACCGAATAAGAACATCAAGTTCTCCAAGCCAATGGAGCTACATTTCAACTGATCTGAACCCAGCAGATGTAGCAACAAGAAACCTCAATACTGTAGATTTACCCACTTCAGTCTATCTGCAGGGAACAAAATTCTTGAGTCAAGATTCAGATATTGGAAAACAAATGTATCCACTTGTCAACCCAAATGATGATAAAGAAGTCCGTCCGTCTGTAGTGACTAACAAAACTGACATTAATGAGGAAGTAGGATTGTCAAGCAGGTTTTTTCGGCTTGCATCTTGGAAAAGTCTAGTGAGAGCTATTCAGTTTCTTAAAGCCTGTATTAGAAAGTTACATCAACAGAGTCCACCTTCTCGACAAGAAGTGGAACAATTTATCTTTAAAACAGTGCAAGCAGAGGCGTTTTCAAATGATATCAATGCAATTAGTTCTGATGGTCAGTTACTTCTTACGTCAAATTTATTATCGCTTTCACCTGTGTTAGACAAACATAATATTCTTAGAGTTGGTGGACGTATAAGACATGCAAAAACTGTTGAGCTACATCTTCAGCCAATAATTATTCCAAAGAAACATCATTTAGCTGTGTTACTGACGCGTCACTATCATGAATTGACATGTCATCAAGGCAGACACATGACTGAAGGAGCCTTGCGTTCAGGAGGCTTTTGGGTTATAGGCATTAAAATGTTAGTTTCTACAATCATCAGCCAATGCGTCACATGTAAGAAATTGCGAGGTCAGTTTAAAGTACAAAAGATGTCTGACCTTCCGGAAGATAGACTCACTCCAGGACCTCCCTTTACTTTTGTGGGGAATGATACATTTGGACCATACCAAATCATCCATAGAAAAACTAGAGGCTCATCAATCAATCAAAAAAGATGGGCAATATTATTCACATGTTTGGTTTCTAGGGCGATACATATTGAAGTCATAGAAGAAATGAGTAGCGCCAGTTTTATCAATGCATATCGTCGTTTCATTGCTATCAGAGGATCTGTTAAACTTCTTCGATCAGACAGGGGAACCAATTTTGTTGGTGCAATACAAGATTTAGGAATCAAAGCCGAATTCATTGAAAAGGGCCCTGTTGATATAAGGCTATCACAATATGGAACTATATGGAAATTCAACCCTCCGCATGCTTCACATTTTGGTGGATCCTGGGAAAGGATGATAGGTTTAAGCAGAAGGATTTTGGATTGCATGCTCATTTGTGAGAAAAATAGACTCACACATGAAATTTTAGTTACTCTAATGGCAGAGGTCAGTTCTATTGTGAATTCAAGGCCGTTAGTATCTGTCTCTACTGATCCGGATAACCCGGAAGTATTATCTCCGTCTATGCTCTTAACACACAAGAAATGACAGGATGAACAAACTATGCTACAATTTGGAACTAAGGACATGTTACGTAGTCAGTGGAAGATGGTTCAAGAACTCGCAGATAAATTCTGGTCAAAATGGAATAAAGAATATTTACATACACTTCAAGTAAGAAAAGGGGGAATTGCCGATAAAGGACTTAAATATAGGAGACATAGTTCTCATGAGGGACCGAGAGTTACCAAGACCACAGTGGCCGATGGCAATAGTAACCAAAGTTGTCCCCAGTGCCGACAGGAAAATCTGAAAAGTGGAAATTCGAACTATTAGAGACAATAAACCCAGTTCATTCATTAGACCAATTGTTGAACTCATTCCTCTCGTTCTTACTGATCCAAAATGACAGTCAGTTATTTTGTGCGACTTCATATATCTTCTTGTTCAGTACATGTATATTGCTAGATAAGCATAAATTTTGTATTTTTTGTGGTGATTTTCTAAAAATCAGAAGGGGAGTGTCATGTTTCCGGAAATGAAACGGAATTCACGTCCTTGTTTTTTTATCTACTTGTTATATACACTTATTTTTATATCCGGCACGTTTGGTAAATTTGTTAAAGCAAAATTTTGTACAATTTCTCATGAAATTTGTAACTTCACGACACCAAAGCGTAAGTTAACTTGTAACATATTTTTCTTTATATATGTATAAACCTTTTCTGACAAGTATAATATTTTTAAGTCTTTCTAAACAGTTGACAAACATTCTTTTTGGTCTTTTTACATGAATTGTTTATCATACTTTTTTTTACATTAATTCTTAAATCCAGCGTGCTGATTTGTATTTCCTTTGATTTGATTTAGATGTTTTCTCTTGAAAAGTATTTAATTTGCGTTTTTTTTTGTTATTGTAAATTACTCACTTCGATTCGTGAAAAAAGGCGACTATTTTCTACTGTAAACCTACAAGCACATGTGCTACTGTTTTTGGTACTGAGATGTTCCAGGTGCATTACCAATAAAACATTCATAATCAATGCTCCGTGTTGAAGGCCGTACCTTGACCTATAATGGTTTACTTTTATATATTGTAACTTGGATGTAGAGTTGTCTCATTGGCACTCATACCACATCTTCCTATATCTATATAACTTTGGAACTGAAATGTTTGAGGTGAATAACCATTTTTGATACATTCTTTCAACACAAAAAACGTTGATGAAATATTTCTAATGAGATGTTCGAGGTGTATGACCCTTTGCTAACGTTCATTTGCCACTGTTATTGAGATATTCAATGTGTATGACCTCAGATATCGTTTCTTCAACACTAGCACTCTGTGTTGTCAACAATTGTTTACCTCTAGATAACGTTCCAATAACACTGGTACAGAGAAGTTTGAGGTGTAATACCTTTAAATAACATTAATATTCAATGGTATTGAGTTTTTAAGAGGTATGAACCCCAGAAATCGTTCATCTAACACTGGTACTGAGATGTCCATGGCGTATGACCCCTATATAACGGGTTACTGATATGTTCGAGGTGTGTGACCCTTTATTATATATAAAATACTGCAAGTAAGATGTTTGAGGTTAATGAACAGAAGAAAACGTTCATACAACGCTGGTCCTGAGATGTTCGGGGTGTTTGATCCCTTGGTAATGTTCATATAACTTTGCCACTGAGATGTTCAAGGTTATAACCCCCAGATAACGTTCATATAACACTAGTACTGAAATGTTGGGGTGAATGACCACTAAATACAAGCCTACAACACACAGTTGTTCGAGGTTTTTTTTGTTACCTCAACTCAACGTTGCAACAACACTGCTTCTGATATGTTTGAGGTGGATGACCCCTAGATTACGTTCATATAACACTGATACTCTGATCTTTAAATTGGATGACCCCTCACCCCTCCAGATAACGTTCTTATGACACTGGTACTCAGATGACTGACGCATTAACTACACATCGCGGTTCTCGTTATTTGGAATACACATTTTGAGTCATGGTAGTCAGACTAGTGTGTAAATTCTCACTGTAGTGACTTCATTGCACATTTCCTAACTGTAGTTAGTTTTCCGTATGTATGTGTTCAGATAGTTACTTTGTATGTAGATATCATTGAGCATTAATCGATCCAATTGCAATTTTTACTTTATTTACCTTCAAATGTTTTTATTTACTGTTGTAGCTCAATTGTGAATTGTTTGTCCTTTTGACGCTCTGGAAATAAAGGTAGCCATGTTCTGGTCATTTTGACTTATGTAGTGACTTATCCGGATGTATGTATGTGCGCGTTTTTGTTTTTGTTTTTTGTTTTTTTTTTTTTTTACAAACTGCAGCTTATTTCATACCTGTGTTGAATGTGCATACGAAATAAGTAATTCCAACAATGTTTTAAGAGTTTTTATAAAAAAAATGTCTCCATTTTCGATACAATGTGCATATACAAAGAGATATCGCTTCCATTGTGCTTAAACAAGAGTTTTTTTTAACTTCTGTAACAACAAAAACAATTTCAAATCAACCTTTTCCTCAGATTACAAATGCTCAATAACATGAGATTGAAACTCATTATTGATTTTCTCCTGGAACCAACAGAGATGTGTGATCAACACTCTGCGCTCTGAGCAAAAAAACGCTAAAACCATGCAGTATAGCAATGTACACCGATATTGCTGACTTAGATCAGCATATAAAGTTAATGTAGTTGAATTACTTGTGATCAATTTTTATTGCAATAATATAAGGCAAAACATAAAGGTTCATTTACTTTTATATTTAGATCTACTGGTGTGACGTCTGCTTCATTTACCGTCTGGAATTATAAAATCTATTTAATGTGAAAATAACAAGAGCATATCAATTCGTTCCATTGAAAAGAGAACATTTCTAAATATGAACTAAGTAATTCTTAGAAGTATCTGTATCTTGAAGTAAGATCAAGCAATGATTATATCTTTGTGTTGCATGTATCTTTCAATTGTCAATCATAATGTTCAAGATTTCAATCAAAATACATTGAAAACGTTTATGTCCTGTGATATTGGTTTGTTTTCGTATATATTTTAAATAAGAATTTGCGAACGTAATAATAGGTACAATGTATCTACAAACAGAACGTAGGTATCCGACAGATCCGAAAAGCGCTGTCACGTACCAAGTCACCACTGTCAAGCTGCAAACCAGGTGTTTTGTTTAGAAGAACTCTAAAATGAAAATATTAAATTCATTCAACTTATTAAAAAAGGAATTAAAACTAGTGGCTAATGGGAAGAAGGTGTCTAACATATCCGTTGTTTCAAAGTACCACTGTCAATGTGCAGAACAACTACGTTTAAAACATTTAGAAATATCTGATGTTTATGTTCAATGTCCATATACTGTGGATTCATTTATTTTCGTGGGTACCAATTTTCGTGGATTGATGTTATCTTGCATATTCGAGGACATATGAGTTCGTGGTTTTTCCAAATTCTGCATACTACCCAATAGAAAATTAGTAATTCGTTGAACATTTACATTCGTAGTTTACCTGTACTCACGAAATCCACGAAAATTGGTTTCCAACGAATAATAATGAATGCACAGTATTTAAAGAGAGGAAATAAAATAAGCCTAGGATTTTTAGCAGTTGCGATGGTTTTCAATATGATACGTGATGTTCTACTTATTATCTATTATTATCAATGGTAATGCATGTCAATACAGAATTGCTGACTACTGGGCTGGTGAAACTCTCGGAGGAAAATTTCCACCAGCAGTGGCATCGAACCAGTGTTTGTAAATAAACTCATCATGGATACTAGGATTCAATTTTTATACGCCAGACGCGCGTTTCGTCATCAAAAGACCCATCAGTGACGCTCGATTCAAGAAAGATAAAATGTCTAAATAAAGTACGAAGTTGAAGATAAATAATAATTATGACCATATTATTGATAATCTATATCAACACAGAAGAATTAGCCGTATCTGACAAAATCGTTAGAGATTATAAAGAGAGAGGAATAAGTTTTCGTAAACCATTTTATAAAGATAAAATTAGAGAATGTGGTATGCTTGCCATTGAGACAACTATCCAGCATAGTCAAAATGAAGCAGTTTTAAGCAAATATAGGTCACCGTGCGGCCTCAAACAATGATAAAAACCCATACTGTAGAGTTAGCTATTAATGCTCCCAATATGACAAATTGTTTAACAAGTCTAACGAAAAACAAAACAACGGCTTAATCTAGGACAAACAATAAACGAAAGCAAATATGACAAACAGCTACTAACAACAAATGATGCATACAGTTTGTTCCTGACTGTAGAATGTGGCACGGCAAACATGATTGTGATTGCTAAAATCTCCCCAGCCTTGCACAATCTGTAACCGCACAATATAAGTACCATATGTAAAATTCAGTTGGTAATGACTATGCAAGTGTGTGTGTATGTGTGCGTGTGTGTGTGCAATGCAATTATTGGACTGCACTTGTAACAACTTTAAATTAATAGATGATTATATGTTTTGCCTTCTGTAACAGTTTGCATATCTATTTTAATTTTGAAAATAGTAAAGTTTACAATAATTTTACAAATTTTTGGAATTTTGGGTCATCAATGCTTTTCATCTTCACTGGTGAGTCTTGTGTAGACGAAACAAGTGTCTGGCGTATTAAATTATAAGCCTGGTACCTTTAATAACTATTAGTTTGTCGCAATGTTCTATCGTATTGTTTATTTGTGTGTTTTTCTGTCCTGTATGTTCTTCCATTTATTTGTATTGTAGTCCTGTCATGTAATATTGCCATTTTAGTGTTATATTTAACATTGCCATTAAAGCGGGAGGTTTGGCTAGACACAAAACCAGGTTCAATCCACCATTGATTCTTAAAATGTCCTGTACCAAGTCAGGAAAATAACTATTGTTATCTTATAGTTCGTTTCTGTGTGTGTTGCATTTTAGTGTTTCTGTTGTGTTGTTTTTCTCCCATTATAGTTGATGTGTTTCCCGTTTGTATCTCAGATTTGTTTTTTCTGAAAAGATTTACGAGTTTCGAACAGCGGTTTACTTATGTTGCCTTAATTTATAGTTAAGCAAAAAAGTTTTGCATATTTACTTTCTGAAATACTTCAAACTATGAAACCAAATGCGGAATTTTGCATCCTTGTTCTCATCTCTAATAGTTAAAATAAGACTTACACAGGATCGAAGGCATCCCCAAAAATCGTCGCCTGCAATTAATACAATATATTCTTTATTAGAATACAACAATTCATATTTTTAATGAAAGTATATCTTGAAATGGATTTTAACGGTTGCATATATTTATGAAAAACACATACTTTTTGTCAGTTTTATTTCCTATTTTTTTAAACACTTTAAACCTATATAGTTAGGTTTAACTATACCTTAAATTTACCCTTTTTTCAAACTTCTAGAGTCATCTGTGAATGATTTCTTAAAACTGTAAACAACACTAGAAAGATGCTATGTTTAGAGGGTGTATAATTAATCTCACAAACTATTAAACAAAAAAAAAGGCAAAACGGTGCGACTTATGAGATATTCAGTTGTTTGAAGGGTGCATGCGTTTATTTGAAACTTACTCTCTAAATTTGTATTGACTTACCAGAATAAACATAATCCTTGCATAATCCAGTACAGTCTTTCAAGAGTGCCTCTTAAATAAAGATGCAAGAAAACAGAGAAATAAGAAAAGTAAAGTAGCATATTAAATCAAACCTGCCTAAGAGGTAACTTAGGATTAAAACTTCATGTATAAGTAGGCAACAATATTATCAATACAACGACTTCGAAGAGGTATTCAACAACAAAGTATTCAGCACGCTGACATGAAGTACTACTATAAGGGTCTTTCTGAGGATTGACTTTTCAGCAAATGTTTAATTATTCAAAAACTAAGGTTAATTTTCACCAAGCATATATTGCATAAGACATATTTGTCAAAACGTTTTCATTTTTGCTTTGGAATGGTTTTGTCAATATTGTTTGATTCTAACGAAGTCGGAATGCGCAGAAAATGCAGTGCATTTCTCCTGTATCTATATTAGAAGTAAACGTATTAGAAATAAAAAAAATAATCAATAAATTAGAAACTCGAAATATATTAAACCCTGTGACCGAATTGTACTAATAGTTAATTTATGCACAGCGCGCATTCGTATACTTGATTGATTTTTGATATTCGAATTCCTGGAATAATATTCCTATGAACACTTGTCCATGTTATTACAATTATCTATCTATTCCAAAAAAAATATTTTTTTCTTAAATAAAGCATGTAATTTGGCATATTCATAGGCCGACAATTGCATTTTGTAAGAACACACATACTTACCTGGTAAATGATTTTTCAGTTATTTAGTTGAAAGTTAATTTTTTAATCAAAATATCGTGTGTTTACGAATTTATTTTGTGTTAGAATATTTCTGTTAGAGGTAAAAAGAAAAAGCGACTTATATATATCGTTATGGCATAATGATTGGTTTTATTAGGTTTTGGCAATTATGCGTTATAACTGTAATTCCCATGTTGTTATTTCAATTAAACTTTACATTAGTATAGTAAATTTTACTTTTGTAAGAAATATGGTATCAAATCAGCATCCGATTTCTGTTATTAATCAGTTCATATGAATGATCAACAAAGATTGTCAGAATTTATACTTTGAAAAGTGAATTTCCTCCAAATCTTCAACACAACCAGTAATGTCAACAACTAACGTGAACAAAAAGTTCTTGTATGACGCATATTGTACAAATACTCGTAATGATATGATACAACCCTCCCGGAACACCTGAGAATACAGTTTTTTTTTTGGTGTTCGTGTTGCTCAGTCTTTAATTTTCTATCTTGTGTGTTGTGTACTGTTGCTTGTCTGTTTGTTCTTTTCTTTTTTTAGCCGTGGAGTTGACAATTATTTTTACGTCTTATGAGTTTGAATATCTCTTTGGTATCCTTCGCCTCTCTTTTGCAATTTTTTGTCGAATTTAATAACGTTAACGGGTCCAATTTTATTGCACCAGATGCTCATCTCGACAAATAGTTGTAATGTCCCTTGAGTGATGCTCGAGGCAAATATGTTTGAAAAAACAGACCTAACACAAACGTTTAAGAGCTGAAATAAACAAAAAGGACAAAAAGTTTACCCCGACACGGTCAGTGAATCAAAACTTTGCATGAGGGAGATACATTCCTTAATTCAAAATGAAAATTTCGATAAACTATATTCAGATTTTCATGGAAGTACTGAGCTAATGGAAAAGCGACAAGTTAGTCAGGTAAGCTAGTATACTATCCAATATTTAACAGACCGTGTGTCTTGTTAAACATTTCATCAGACATTTAAAGAAATCTCTTATCATTGAATTTGGTAGTTTGACAAGGACAATGTCATAAAATACATCTTATATCCCGAATGACTAATGTAAGAGCAATATACTATTACTAACCTGCTGGCAAACCTCCAACTTGCTGCATGTAAACCAATACGAAAAATAGTAACAAGCTAACAAACATTTTGTCGCTAGATTCTTAACAGTACTTGAGTAATAAATCTACGAACAACTGTACAGTTAATTCGAGTTGAGAATGTTTTTAGCGTTGCTGCTATCGGTTTATATATGTATGTTCATATCCTACTTTTGTTTGAACTTAGAATATTATGTAAGACAATTTCTATTTATAGAAAGAATAACCGTAACATTCTGCATATTTATGTAACTTGTATACACGAAACTATTAATTTTAATAATACTTTAAGAGATTTATAGATAAACAAATATATTTTGTATATTTACTTTCCTAATACCTAAAACAAAGAACGCAACGGTTGAACTTTGCATCCTTGCTTTATCTTTAAAAGTTAAAATAAAACTTACACATACATTGTGCAAGATTGAAGGCATTCCCAAAGTTTGCTACCTCCAATTAATGTAATAGATTCTTTATTTGTATGAACCTATATATTTAAATGAATTTTAGCGTCTGCATATAGTTATCAAAAACAATAACTTTTTGTCAGTTTTGTTTCCAATTTTCTAAACACTTGTTCTCATCTTTAATAGTTAATGTAACACTTACACAGGATCAGAGGCACCCCCGAAAAATCATCACCTGCAATTATTGGAATATATTATGTATTTGTATACAAAAATATATATTTTTCAATGAAACTATATCTAGAAATGAATTTTAGCGTCTGCATATATATATATAAATATTAAAATCGCTTACATTTTTGCAGTTTTATATACAATTTTTTCAGCACTTAAAATCTATATATTTATGTTTATCTATACCCAATACAATTTACCTATTTTCTCAACTCCTAGAGTTATCTGTGAATGATTCTTTAAAACTCTATACTACATCGTCTATTTAGGAGGTTTATAATTAATCTCATAAACTAATGAACACAAAAAGCAAAACGATGTGAATTGGAGATATTCAATTGTGACAATCGTTTCAAGAATTAAAAGGTACATGCGTGTACTTACAACTTAAACTATCTAGCATTTCTGTTTACTTTCCAGTATAACCATTATTCTTGCAACATCCCGCTCAGCCTTTTAGGGGTACTTCTTGAATAAAGATGCAAGAAAAAAAACCCACTATGAATAAGAAATGTAAAATAGCCTATGGCTTACTTATGGACTTTTTCTTATTTTGTCTTATCATTATTAGGGTTTAGCTTTACAGTTGGTGGAGTTATACTCCTTTTATTTGCAAGTTTTCTTTGGGGTAAAACTGATTTTCCTCAAGAAAAATTTATTTGCCCTTAAGGAAAACTATATTTTCTTAAAAAATCGTTTCCCTTAGGAAATTTCCAGCAATATTATTTCCTTAAAGGAAGACAATAGCTTCACATTTCCTTCAAGGAAATCTAGATAATCAAGTTTTTCTTCTTCTAAGCAAGTTTTTATACATTGTATTTCCTAAAGAGAAAATTCATACGCCATATTACCTCAAAGGAAATGTTATGCATCATATGTCTTCAAGGGACATTTCTATTCATCTAATTTCTTAAAGGACATCTTAAAGAAATTAATTTCCACGGAAGAAATTCTGGGAGTAGAATGGCGAAGGATACAAAAGGGACATTTAAACTAAAAAGTCGAAAACAATCTGACAAAACCATGGCTAAAAAAGAAGCAGACAAACAGACAAACAATATATTTTATAGTGTGTCTTTTTATGTTGTCATGTTACACTACTGTTTCAGGTTATGGTGGAGGTTGGCGCCTGTTGGAACGTTTAAACCAGCTGCATTTGTATGCACCTGTCCTTAGTCAGGCGCCTGTTGATAAGTGGTTGTCGTTTGTTGATGTGGTGCATAGGTGTTTCTCGTTTCTCGTTTTTTTTATATAGATTAGACCGTTGGTTTTCCTGTTTGAATTGTTTTACACTAGTCATTTTGGTACCCTTTATAGCTTGCTGTTCGGTGTGAGCCAGGCTCCGTGTTGAAGGCCGTACTTTGACCTATTATTGTTTACTTTTTACACATTGTGACTTGGATGTAGAGTTTTCTCATTGGCACTCATATCACATTGTCTTATTTCTAAACAACAGTACACAAAATAACATAGAAAACCAAAGACTGAGAAACACGAACACCACCAACAACAGGAGGTGATCGCAGGTGCTCCGGAAGGGGAAGCAGATCTTGCTCCACATATGGCACCCGTCGTGTTGTTCATGTAGGTAAAAACACGATGATATGTATAATTCGGTAGGTTACATTCGGGTAAAATTTCATGAATAAGAAACAGTACTCAATTCGGGTGTTTGAAAAACTCGCTTTTTCTTTAAACCTCTGACAGAACTATTTAAGAATATTTTAACATGAAATGAACTAGTTAAAACATGATATTTTGTTTAAAAAAGTAATTTAAAAAAAAGTAAAATTCCTTACAATGTCGCGTCGTACCAGTAACATAAAATGACTTTACAGCTGCATAAAGATAATAAACTCTCCTTAACAATTTTAATACAAGACCATTTTTGACAGATAGATTGATTGGTAGATGTTAGCCTTACTTTATGCACATGGAATCCGGTGAAAAGACTATTGACTATGACTGTCAATTGCAAGATTTGTTTTTTGCAGGAAGTAACGAATTAAGATAATTATTTATGACTTGAATTGAAATTACTTAAAGTAGGTATATCTTTAATCAAAATGCCATGTTTATATTTTGAATTATTTGATCTAATAAAATTGAGAATGGAAATGGGGAATGTGTCAAAGAGACAACAACCCGACAATAGAGCAGACAACAGCCGAAGGCCACCAATGGGTCTTCAATGCAGCGAGAAACTCCCGCACCCGGAGGTGTCCTTCAGCTGGCCTCATAACAAATATTTATACTAGTTTAGTGATGTATACACATGTATACAGACGAAATTCCTACACGTGTTTGTGTCCACCAGGTAAAAATTTGTTCTTACACATGTTACAAAATGCATTTGTCGGCCTATTAATAAGCCAAATTACAAGCTTTATTTAAGGTTTTTTTTTAAAGATAGATAATAAATTATTGTAGTTACAACGGTAATTGTTTATATATCAGAAATTCGAATCTTAAAAACAAAATCATAAACAAACATCAGTTTATAAATAAATCTACGCTTTCCGACTTCTTTTGAGGAAAAAAAAAACAAACATCAGTTTACAAATGATATAAATAAATATGCGCATTCCGATTTCTTCTGAGGAACAAAAAAAAAAACAACAAAAAACATCAATTTAAAAAAAAATATAAATAAATCTGTGCCATCCGACTTTGTTTGAGGAAAAAAAAAATATCAGTTTACAAATAATATAAATAAATCTGCGCCTTCCGACTTCATTTGAGGAAAACGGTGTTGACGATGTCTTAACAATACCTATTACCTTAGAGGTAATGCATGAAAGCATTTGGTTCTGTAAAATCACGATATTTCATAGCAACCAACATAAATATAAAATGTGTATTGCATTCAAGGGGATACCAGAATATCGTGCAACGGCGACAATGTCATAACATAGCTCGGAATAAAACATTGCGCTTTAATTTGAACAGTGTGAAATAATACAGCAATACAAATGCAATACGTATTGTGCATAAATTCAGATATGTTATGGATTGAATATTTATCAAAGCAAATGTTGAACGAAGTATTATAACAAATGCTTGATAAAATTTGTATCTTAATTCTGTCACCTGAGTACCATTATTTTACGGAAATGTGTATCCTCATTTAATTCAAAATATCATTCACATTTGAAATGACTGATTGCAAAAGAACTGCATTGATTTTCATAAAAAGACGAGGTATTTTTAAACAATGCATACACAAATGTAGTATCCTTTCTCTGATATTTATCATATCACAACACCAAGATGTTCAAAAAGTGCCAAAAATCAATGACAGTGAATAATTTTTTTTTTTAATTTAGAAATTATGACACTCTTATTTAACACACACATACGTTTAAGCATATCATCTTTAGAATATAGACGTTCTTTTAAAAGATAATTTATACAGATGCATTTAAAATGACTGGTTGCAAACAACAGTGCATTATTTTGATTAGATGAAGAAATATTGGATTTTCTTAAAAAATGCGAACACAATTTTAGCATCTTTTTTTAAATATTCATCATATTAAAAATAACAAAAAATAAAACCATCCTGATATACAAAACGTACTGATATTTGATCGCGGTTCATAATTTCCATTAAAATAGAGAAATAATTGCATTGTTATTCAATACACACATAAGTTTAAACATCTGTATCCTCATAATATCTTTTACACATGTGATTCTTCCGGCGGCAGTCAAAATCTTTTATTAAAATTTCAACCTCGAAAAATTTTGAGCAGACATTTTTGTTTTCAACATAGATACTGATACATCATTTGACATTTTGGGTCCTCAATGCTCTTTTACTTTGTACTTGTTTGGCTTGATAACTATTTTGATCAGAGCGTCACTGATAAGTCTTATGTAGACGAAACGCGCGTCTGGCGTATTAAATTATAATCCTGGTACCTTTGATGACTATTCCTGCTGTTGGTTTTGTTTTAAAAGGTAAATAGGTAATAAGCGTCGAGAAATCTATGAAGGTGTTTATGATTAAACTGTTTATACAACAATAAAAGATGATTGGCAATAACATGTACCTGGTGATCAACAAGCTAGTTTAAGACACACGCCTGGATGATTAAAATTGAAAGACTGAAAATGGACTTAGTTGTGTGAAGAACGACTCGACGATCTTTGATGCCATTGAAAACTTGGAACTGACCATATATAATATAAGATTAACTCAAATATGATACGTATAGCTCGTTTTCTATCCAAGCCATTACGATATCTATATAAGAATGTTTCTCTTGGACAATTGTATAATTTGTCAAAATGCCGAAACGTATGTTATCACCAAATACCCAAGCACCAAAAAAGACCAAGTATTTAGCCAAAATCAGAAGCCCAGTCCCAAGGGGTCCATATAATACTTTCTCCACTGTCAACAAAGCTGACTTTAAAGTATGCTATGGTGGTCGTAATGACTTGACCAAACAAATAGAGACAGTCACCCACCAGAAGCCCACGGCTCTATTAGCTCAATATCATCTGTTA